TTTAAAAATTTAAAAAACCAAAGTCATAACACATTGGGTTGACCCAAATCCAATGACACTGGGTCATGAACATATACTTTTCAACCTAAACCCGAATTGACCTGACCCGAAGTAACCTGAATCTGAAGTGACCGAACCTGAACCCGACTTGACCAACCGATTTGCTAGCTCTAACTATTGTGTGAAAATGGCCTTGTTTAGCAATAACATTAGAAGATATAGCTTTGAAGAAAAAAACTATCTAATAGTACCCTTTAGTATTAGCTTTTTAAAAAGTTATTTATGCTGTTAAAGTTTAAATTAAAACGCAACACCAAAAAAAAATTTATTATCAAATAAGGTGAAAGTTGAATATTTTTTACCCGTGATTACAGCAACATTATTGGTCACGGTGTATCGTCATAGACGACAATTGAGTGGTTGTTTGCGACAACGATGACAATGATGGATGATCAACTATAAATTTTTATTTAAATAAGATATTTTAGAACTTTTATTTAACATAGCTGATATCTTAAATATAATGATATCAAACTTGTATAGTTATATTGCAATTTAATTTTTTTAATCAATTTTATGATTTAATTTTTACTACAAAAAATCTAATGAAATACATTTTTTAAACAGGAGTAATATAGCAGGGCACTAGAGTGCCAAATTGCCAACACTAATACCCAAAGTACTTTTTTTAAAAAAAAAGAGAAAAGTGTTTACTCCCGAATTTTTTAAAAAGTTACACGATTTACCTCTAAACATTAAAATATGCACCAAATATCCCTGAATTCTTTAGAAATTGCATGATATACTCCTGAACATTAAAAAGTGCACCAACTACCTCTGAACTCTTTGGAAATTGCACAGTTTACCTCTGAATATTCAAATAAAGACGATAATGTTGGGAAAATGTACTTTATAGAATTCACAAGGGCAAAAGGAATCATACTCGTTATTCCAGTGCGTGAGATTAACGCACTCCCTATCTAGCATTTTAGGACCAATGGTGCAACATTTTAAATTGTTCAGGAGTATTTGATACGAAGTACATTTTTTAATGTTCATGGGTAAATCGTGCAATTTTCGAAAAGTTCAAGGATAAACAGTATACTTTTTAATGTTCGTGGGTAAATCATACAGTTTTCAAAAAGTTAGAGAGAAGCGGTGTACTTTTTTCAAAGAATAGATAAAATTTTAATCTTAAATTCAGAATACGTGACGATAAATTGTCGTTCCAAGGAAATTAGCGCGCAACATGACACAATTTCAAATTATTCTAAAACATTGGGCTTGTTTGGGAATAGCTTTAGCGATTAGCATCAGCGTTTTGGATAAAATTTTAACGGTGCAGATTAATTTGAAAACGCTAACGCTAAAAGCTGCCCGTAGATAGCTTTTTGAAAACGCTAACGCTAATCGGTAAAGCTATTCCCAAATAGGCCCATTGTCAAAATGATTAATTTGTTAATAACTTTAATTTGGAAGTTTTTTATCAAAAGAAGGAAAATGCTAGAGTCACAAACATATAGTTCACAAACTTCACAAACTTGCCTTTTGTGGATTTTAAATTAAAATATCTTTTATTATTTGAGTGCATCTTATTTCTAGAAAAGTGTTAAAAAGGCAAGTTTGTGAATTTTGTGAACTGTTTGTTTGTGACTCTAGCATTACTCTCAAAAGAATTACTCCAAAACTTAAATTGTGTATTTAGCTCCATATTTAGAATTTTACCAAAAATGGTTTTATTTCAATTTAAATGATCAATTTCTACAATACTCCGTAATGCAAAAGACTCAAAAATTCAGAAGTGCATATATTTGGGTCCCGCTCATTTTTAAAAATCTGAATTCCCAAAATTCCCCGGGTTGACGGTTTATAAAAACCGAACAAATTCCGGCAGCCGTCGTCAGGACAAAACTTAAGAAACTCCGGCGGCCGGCGATATGTCGAAACTCGAATTCTCAATCGTATTTTTTTTCATCTCGGTGGTCATATGGGCCATTCTCTTCTTCGCCTTATTTTGCGCTTTTTTTGCCTTCCACCGGTGGATGTCCGGCTGGGTGGCGGGGCCGGCGTACAGGGGATTGAGCAGAGGCGTCCTGGATTCGCTGCCGGTGGTCAGTTTCGCGGCGGAGCATTCCCGGAAGTTCTCAGAATGCCCGATCTGTCTCACGGAATATTCCGCCGGAGAAGAACTCCGGGTGCTGCCGGTGTGCTGCCATGGCTTCCACGCGCGGTGTGTTGACGCGTGGCTGGTTTCGCGCGCGTCTTGCCCGTCTTGCCGGCGGCTCCTCGTCGTTCCGGCGGAGGGACAAGCACTTCACAAAGAACTTCCAGTATAGCTTGTTATCGTATACTCATTTTTTGTGCGTTTCTTTTTATAAATACTCCGTACAATCCAACGAAGAGAAGAAAAAATTAATTAATCAATTAATTTAATTTTTTCATTTCATTTATTTTTGATTAAAATTTGTTAACTTTGAGTTCAATATATGTCTACAATGTATTTTGTTTCAACGGATAAATTAACGGAACTGTTGGTAGCGTTAAATAAAACTGTTTATTAAATATTTCATTCCATGATATTTTTAAATTAAATTTAAACAATCTGAAATGTTACTTTCAAAATTATTAAATTATATTTATAATTTTATTATTATATTCTTATTCTATAATATTTGAAATTAATTTGTATACTTAATGAGTTTTATTTCAAAAAACGACTAAATTGGGAAAGCTCTCCATTTGAAAGAATCATTTTGGAAAATTATAAGTTTAAATGTTGTTTCGATGACCGACTGACCGTTAGTCAGAATCAAAACAAAACATTATTTTCAATTAACCAAGATCATCTCGGTAATTAATTAATAATTAGGTAGTCTAATTTGGGTAGAAAGCTGTATTTTAAATTTATAATTTTGACCAAAATCATTTTGACTAATTAAATTTATAATTTTGATAGAAAGCTATATTTCAAATATTTAAGGAAATTTTGAATTTTTTGTTTTATTTTGTCATCTTTGTGTATGAAATACTATACATGTATGAAAATGAAAAAAATATATATTTTATTCCACTATTTTCTAAAAAAATGAACTCCAAGAAAAAATAACAAATAAAATAGTGAACATAGATATATGTATGACTATTTAAGAATTATATTAACATTTTCTATATTTGTTAAAAGTTCAACTAATATATAAACATTATATGAATTAAAATTTAATTGTATTTATTTAAATTTTTTTAATAATAATGTGACAAGCATTATAAGTTTTTTTTATAAATTTGGATATGATATTTTATCGTAGCTAGACTATTATTAGATACGATTTTTTTTTAAAAAAATTGTATTTTAACAATAATACCTATGCTCTAAAATTTATACGAGTATATAATATTCCCTCCGTCCCAATGTAATTGTCCAGTTTGACTTTTTATAGTCAAATCAGACAAACTTTGAGCTTAAATTAATTAAAAACCGTAATGTATTTTAACATAAAAATGACTTTATTGGATTACCGTATTGAGAACTTTCAAAATTGTATTTAATTATGCCAATATGCAATATAAATTGAGAGTAATTGGAGTTCAAAGATTGTCCAATTTGACTGAAAAAAGTCAAATTTGACAAATACACTATGACAGAGGTATTAGTTTATACTAGCTAGACTACTTGATATGGTAACGTACTTTATATAATTATTTTTTTAAAAGGTAATAAAAAAAATGGTCAAATACTAAATATGCACATATACATACATATACGTATATCTCTGATGCATTGTGCGGCTCAGATTGCATTCTGTGCTCAGATTTTGAGATAGTGCATTTTCAAAGGATTTTGATGCATTTTGACGTGATGCATTTTCAAACCATTTTGGTGCATCTAGTTTTGATGCAATCTTGACCCTTAAATCTCACAATCTAAAGCACCAGATGCATTTTCATTTCTCTCCTAAGATTGCATTCTCACCAGAACCAATATATATATATATATATATATATATATATTCTACATGTTTTAACTATAAATATAATATTTTTAATAGTAGGTACAATAAATAAATAAGAAAGGGATTTTTTAACTAACTCTTATGATATTTTTTTGAAGTAAAAATTATAATTTTAATAATGATGCAAATGTATTATATTTTATGTGGAATAATGACATTATGCCATGTGGAAAAAATGGAAAATTTACCTAAATAGGACAAGAACCTAATGACTTTTTCAATATAGTACCATATATTTTTATTTTCCAACGTAGGACTATTGATTATTATCTATTAGTCATTATTCAAGTAGATGTCCACCATCATTGGACATTATTCCTTCCACTAAACATTACGGAGTATTAAATATTATTTAAGGAATACAAAATTTATGTCCTACATTAGATGATGACTTGTGTTTTAATTCTATTTAATATAAATTTAACTAAAAAAATTTACCATGTCGTGTGCCACATGTCATCACCACAATTAAAGAACTCTCTTTTATAGGGTAGCTGCCATTGATGAAGCTAGTCTTTCCTCTAAGTGTAAAATCCTAGTTGTAAGTTTCACATGGTGGATGGTGCTGAGTTTCCTCGATTTTTGAAGAATAAAAATCGAACTTATATTGGGTTTGAAGAAATAAAAGTGGATGATTCATATGTTTGATGGAAGTAACCCCAACAATCATTTGGATGAGATTCTCATGACATTGTCTGACAATGTTATGGGATGACCCGGGATACTCCGATGTCCCGTTTGTAAAATTGATGGTTCCTATATCCAGTAAATCCCCCATCTCTCTCCGACCCGAACACACCCCTGCCCCATCAATTGCACCCTACCAAAAAAAAGTAGAGTCACTTTTTTGTGTTTGCTTTGTTCTCACGCATTTTTCTTTCCATTTTATTGATTTTAAAAAAAAAGTTGAAAAAACTTTTGAAATTTGGCCCGGCCGCCTGACCGCTGCTCTAAAACCCCTCAGTTAGGGCTTTTCCCTCCGCCGGATCCCCGAAATCACTGCGATTTTCTCTGTAACCATTTTATCCACTCTGAGCTCCAATCGAACAGGCGAAGATTCGGGAAGAGCGATGGTGTCACCGAAGCAGCTTCTCTTCTTGATAGAGTCGGCCCTGCTGGGCCCCACTCCGCCTTCGCCGTCGCAGAGGGTGGAGCTGCTTCACGCCGTCCGCCAGTCCATGCCTCGTCTACGTTCCCTTGTTTCCTACCCGGTATTCTATCACTAGCTCGTATATATAAGTGTTGATTTTGGGCGGACAATGCTAATGCACTGAGTTGAGTTTTGAGTTCTGTGATAGCTAAGACTTTCAGCTCACATTTCAACATGGATATCAGAACTGTGATAAAATTTACTGATTTGGAGAGGCCTAGTTGCTCATCAAGTTTTCTACTTCTATTGAAGATTGTTTGGAGTTTGAAGCTTTATTGCTATTTTTTTCTTTATTAAGGCGAGGGAATTATGTGGGTTGCCATTACATCTGCATGTGCTGTATTTTTATCTATCTAGGAAGATTGCCATTTAGATAAATATTTGATTGTTGGAGAATATTTTAATATACTGTATTTCCCCACACAGGCTCCAAAGCCCTCAGACAGAGTGCAAGTACAGTCTAAAGAAGTCAGGCTTCCAGATTCTGGGCGGATATCACTTGATGACCAGGATGTTCAGATTGTGAGTTAGACCCCAAATTTCTTGCTTTTGTCTCTTTAAACAATTGTGTAATGTTTATGTTTCTTAAGGCATGCTACGTATATTGTTAGAATCACCTGATTATATACATAACATATGCTGACTGTCAATATCAATGCACACAATGCAATCTGTACTGTCCATGTGGCAGGTCAATTAGGTGAATAGTTCTGTAAAAACATGCCCTTTGTCTTCTAAAAGAATGCTATGTTATGTGCCCCATTATATATTAATTTTTTTGCACTACCTGTGGCAGCAGTTTCTTGGATATAAGTTGGTGTATTTCTTTACTTGTCATCTGTTTGGCACTTTGGCCCAAGATTTTTTTTTCTCTAAATTATCTGTAACACTATATGCCAGGCTTTAAAGTTGAGTGATGATTTACATCTCAATGAGATAGAGTGCACACGATTACTTATTTCTGCTAATCAAGAGGTAAGTCATTTACTTTTCCATTTTACATTGCTCAAGTAGAAGAATAATGTTTTTTTCATTGAGTAAATCAACTGTTATCACACTGGCAGAATTCAGAAAAGTCACAGGGGAGAATACCATTTGTTCCATGCTTACACGAGTGATAATTCAATTTAAAAAAATCTATATTTGTCTTAATATGTGTAAAGTGCTAAACTTTGCAGTGGGGACTATTGGGGCGAGATCATTTAGAAATTATGCGCCTTGCTGCAGGACTTTGGTATACTGAGAGAAGAGATCTCATAACTGCTTTTTACATGATATTAAGGGTATTATTCATTCTTGCTTGTATGGTTAAACCCCGTTTCTGGTTATATCTGCATTGATGTCTCCATTTGTGTAGGCTGTTGTCCTTGATCAAGGACATGATGCTGATCTTGTGGCAGATCTACTTAGATACATGGAGGATCTCATGAATGGAGGAGTCAGACAACGATTAATTACACTTATAAAGGTCCTAAAACTAACTTGAATGCCTCTTTGGTCTTGAATTACTTGGACGTGTAATGTCAGGCCTCGTATGGGCCACTGACCAACATGAATTCAAACAGAAGTGAAGTTTGGATGAACATTTAAATATTTGATTCCTTTAGGAATCTCCTCCCTCCTAAATTTTGTAAAAAGTTGGAGAACACAGATGGTTCTATTATATTCACACACATTTCTTATAGATGGAACACAACAAAATCCGTGCATCAACCAAAACATTCCTTGTCAAATGCATGGTTTTCACACTGTAGCTTTTTTGAGTTCCCAAATGTCTGAAACTTTGAACACTATCCAATCTTATAATGAACATTATAATGCGTGATGTGCCATCGATTGTTAAATGCATAGATACATTATATTTTTTTTGTTTATTCGACACTTTGGTTGTTTTTGTAAAAGGTGCAAGTTCATAATGACATTTGTTAGTTACCTTTTAGGAGCTCAATCGAGAAGAACCAGCTGGATTGGGTGGGCCAAACTGTGAGCTCTATGTTCTTGATTCGAGAGGTGCTCTAGTGGAACGAAAAGCTGTAGTTGCTAGGGAAAGGCTCATCCTTACTCATTGTCTTGTCCTTTCTGTTTTGATTGTACGGGCAAGTAAGCAACACGGGACTGATCTCTATTCATAGATGTTCTGGATCAAATTTCTTTTCCTCCATATTTTTTTGTATATATTGTTTGTTTTTTTCATAAAATCCCATTGGGCTATTGTATTTATTTGCACACTAATCATAAAAGTGCTTCATCTTTCAAATGTACACTGTTAAGAAATATGCTTTTTTATGATTTTATCATATGCATTGCTATTGCTGTTGTAGCATTTCTTGATCATATAGAGTGAACATATCACAGCGCACTTCTCCATTGTGCAAAAAGATTTGTTTCCATTGCCTTCTCTATGATCATAGAATGAGGAAGTCACTTAAAGTGCTTGTGTACTCAATCCAACAGAACATATCATATTTATAAAGGCCTGGTTATTTTATGGCTAAGTCCTGTTACATAATGTAGTTCAGCTACAAATACTATGTCTTTTTTCAGGATTAATTCTAGTTTTTGCGGGGTGACTTAACTATCATGATTTTAGACTTAACCTTTGATTTCAAAATCGAACTAATTCGTTACTTGACTATTGAAATTGTCACCTTTAATCCTAAAATGTGCCACTTTTATCATCATTACCAATAAAAGCGGAACATTTTACTTACTAGAAGGCACAAAAGCATGTTGATTTTGAAGTTGCAGACTAAAACAACGATAATTGACCCAGTGTGGGTAGGATGTATGCAAACTTTACCTCTACCAGTGAAAAATTATTTGTTTAATTGATGTTGCAGACTTAGGGGCTGTTTGTTTCAGCCTCTTAATGGTTCAGATGTCTGAATGGTTCAACACTTAATGGTTCAGACTGTTTGTTTCAGCCTCTGAATGGTTATGTTCAGACATTTGCCTCTGAATGGTTAAGTAAATAAGTATTATACAAAGTCTGAATGGTTAAGACCTCTTATTTGACATTTGCCTCTGAATAGTTAAGCAATATACTAGCTCTTAATGGTTAAGACCTCTTACTGGTTCAGCACTTAATGGTTCAGACCTTTTAATGGTTCAGCACTTACCTATTCAGAAGTTGCCAAACAGCCCCTTAATGTGAAAAGTTGTATGGAGCACTAGTCAAGAGACAAAATGATACGGAATATTAATGCTTTCTCCAAGTTATCGTCTTATCAAACTTTACACAAATCTGAATTTGCATCCTATTTTGAAGATTTTATGTGCTTTTTTTCGTTCGTTGCATTGTTGTTATTTTTTAGTTGAATCAAACATGATTGAATATACACTTATATAAATTTATCATCTTGGTTCTTATTTGTTGTTTCTTTCTATTACCATCTCTTGAAGCATTTTACCTCATCATGAAGCACACTCACAGTGTAATCGCCTACCAGTTCTCATGATTTTCTCTTTGCTTCTTATCCACAACTATTGATAGTTTTCTAATTATTTGTAATGTTTGTAGGCCCCAAAGATATAAAAGACATTTTCTCTGCTCTAAAAGACAGTGGAGTGGAACTTAATTGCAACACCGATACCATAAAACATCAGGTTTTGCTAATTATACATAGTATTGTGATGCTAAAATAATTTGATTTCATTTCAAGGTATTGTTTAGTAGTTGCAAGGAGCAGTGAAAGCTTCAGTAATTTTTTGTTGGCTTTGGAATTAAAACTTGAGCATGGACTTGTTTGATGGAATGGAACATGGAGCTATTTAATAAAATGGAGCAAGGAGTTGTTAGATGGAATGGAATAGGGAATTGATAGCCTGAATATACCATTTTTCATTTTGTGTGCTCTAGGTAGTTTTCCTCTTTTAGGGTCATCTTCTTCCGTTCACTATATTTCACTCTTTTTTATATGTATTTTATTAATTTTACAGAGTATTAAATAAAGCTAATAATGTGCCAAAGGTATTTGTTTATAAGTATGTAAAAGTACTAGATGTCATGCAATTGTTTCTTGCACATCTTTGTGGTGGGTTGGTAGCCAAATGATCTACCTTCATGCATGTTTAATTCTTAACTGTCAAGATTATAACCAATTTGGTGTTGAGTGCACCTGTTCCCTGTAATCTTGCTAATGTAGGATATGATACACTCATGAGCACTCTTCATGTGTTTATGTGGATTGCTATTTGACTATTTCAATCAAATTTGCAGATAGCCCATGGCCTCCTTTTCTCTGTTGTGGTATCTTTAGTATCAGATGCATTGAGTGCAGTTCTAGATAAGGCATCTATCTTGACCCGAGACGTTTCTTTCAGACATGAATTTCAAGAAACTGTACGTAGAGCTATCACATTCAAAGATTTTATTATCATTTATATATAATGAATTGGAAGTTTATTCCCTGCTCCCTGTAGGGGCAAGGTCTGCATACACACACCCTCCTTAGACCCTACTTTTGTAGGATTTTACTGAGTTGTTGAATCAGAAGTTTATGAGCAGTAGTTTTTCTTCCAGATAATGGTTAGTGTGGAAGATCCTGTTGTCAAAGGCTATGTTAATTGCGTAAGGCATGCTTGGCTTGTACATTTAATGTTAATCCATGATGGAGTTGATACTCAAGACACCGGGCCCAGTGTTTCATCGCACGACATTCGAACTATTAACACATTGTTGGAAGTCATATTCTCTGACAATGTTTTTGAATTTTGGATGGCTAACATTCTTCAAACTCCTGCTTTTGAGGTTAGTGTTTTTTATGGAAGATAATGTAATCATTACTTGTGGATGACAAATGCAGGAGTAATGAATTTCTAGTTCTGCAGAGCTAGTTGTCTTTGTGTAGCTATATCTGTTTTCTAGTCATTATGTACTTTACACATTACTTGATGTTACATTCATTTGCATTTTTGCACAAGCTAAGATGATGAACTAACTTTTACTGGTGCAGAATGATGACGAAGATATGGTTTATATGTATCATGCTTATTTGCACAAAATGATGTCTTGCTTTCTGTCTCATCCTCTTGGCCGAGATAAGGTTTGTACAATTTCATCTTAGCCTAGAAATATGCATATATGCTTTTCCACTTCCGAACATGCACACAGTTGCACAGTGCTAACACATGAAGCCACTTTTAAGAAGTACTGTTACTGGCTCAAGATGGGATTTTAGCGTTTTCTTATTATGTTATTAATATGAATTCCTCATATTTTTTCTTTTGTCTTTCATATATGTTACTTTCAATGCTTACTGTCGTTTGAAAGGTGAAAGAAGCGAAAGACAAGGCTATGATAGAATTGAGTCCATATCGCATGACCAGTTCTCATGACCAAGATAGAAGCATGCATACTCAGAAGATTAATCCAGCTCCACAGACTTTTGTTTCACTTTTGGAGTTTGTTAGTGAAATTTATCAGGTTAGTGCATTTTGAATGCTATTTCTCTTCCTAAAATGGATGGGGTTCAAGGTCTTATTCTTTATATTGGCTAATTGTGTATTTTGAGGTTGTCATGTATGAAGTATGGGCTGATTTCTTGATCCGACTATAGGATAGTTTGAGATGTAAACTTTACTCTACTAATCCACAATACACTATCCATTTTTGCTCCTAGAGACCGGAGTCAATTGTGTTGCATTGGATGATAGGATTTTTTTCAGACTTTCAGAGTTAATTGATCTTTTCTATAGCATGATAATTACTGCTGATCTGGGGATATGTTAGTGTAAATGATTGAAGCCAGTTGGCTATTATTCCATACTTTCTAGGAGTCTATTGCGCTAAGCTGTCATTTTGTGAAGTTGCATATCCAAAATATGTGACATAAATTTCAATTAATCATCTCATTGATTTATCACACCACAGCGGGGAAAAAATCTTATAATAATCTGCATTATGTGAAATGGTGATGTCTTTCAGAAACAACCTCTCTACTCTTTACGGGCAGAGATAAGACCTGCTTACATCTTACCCTTCCCACTCCCCAGACCCCACTTATGGGAATGCACTGGGTTTGCTGGTGGTGTTGGATGATGTGGAGCCAGCTTGTAGTGACTGTTCTATCACTTACCAATACTATTACAATTATTTTGAGATTTAAATATATATTATGTCATTTGAGTATCTTAATGTTTAATGGACTATTTTTATTAATAGGAACGATCTCTTTTGTGCTTTCATGAACCGTGGGAGACGTTAGAGATGCGAATGCATTCTTTTCGGCTTCTCTTATTTCCAGTACTTTCATATATTAATGTGTGTGTGTATTCATTCACATATTAATTATGTTTGTTTGTTCACTAGCGGGAACCTGACCTGTTGTCTGGCAATGATGTCTTGTGGACTTTTGTCAATTTTGCTGGAGAGGACCACACTAATTTTCACACGCTTGTTGCATTTCTGAAAATGCTGAGTACCTTGGTAACAAAAAGAAAATCACTATTTAAAACATTATCTCTCTTATGGCTCACCAGAGACATATATTCTAAAAGGCATGCTACTTAAAACTAGGCTTCTACTGCTGAGGGTTCCTCCAAAGTTTTTGAGTTGCTTCAAGGAAAGACGTTTCGTTCTATTGGGTGGGGCACTTTATTCAGCTGCTTATCGATTTACGAAGAAAAGTTCAAACAAGCCATCCAGAGCCCCGGTGCAATGTTACCAGATATACAGGAAGGAGATGCCAAAGCTCTTGTTGCATACTTGAATGTTCTGCAAAAGGTGATAATATCCCTGAACTGTTTCAGTTTAATCTCATACTATGTCTTTGTTAATAAACGAATTAGGTAAGGCGTGTAAAATTTTCTTCAATGTTACAGGTTGTTGAAAATGCAAATCCCATCGAAAGGAAGAATTGGTTTACTGATATTGAACCATTATTCAAATTACTTGGATATGAAAATGTTCCTCCCTATCTTAAGGTTTGGACCTTGAATATTTCTATCTTTCATCTGATTGTATGGATTTGATCCATTATGCTAAGCTATCCATTTTCCTCTGTGCTTCTGTTTGGCAGGGCGCTCTGCGAAATACGATCACTACGTTTGTTAAAGTTTCTCCAGTTATGAAAGATACAGTTTGGAGATACCTGGAACAGTATGATTTACCAGTAGTTGTTGGACATCATGCTGGGACCACTGGACAACCAATGGCAACACATGTTGTTATTCAATGGCCTTTCATATTACATCATGCTTTCCAAACATTTTCTGAATGGCTGAAATTTTATTGAATTTTTCATTTCCTTGATTCTCTTCGTTGATATACCTGAAGTTCTGCCTGTCCGTTGCTAGAATTGTGCTACCCTTTTGGGGTTGATATATTGTCATTGCTTGATTGTAAGGATTAGTTTCTATAGGTTCTGTAAATATGTTAAAGAGATGATCAGATGAAAATCTTGATGAAGTTACATGTATGATTCTTTTCTTCTTTTCATAAACTGCTGTTCCTTTTTAGATGCTTACAATCCAATTTTTTGTGTGCAAACAGGTTTATGATATGCAGTTTGAGCTGAATGAAATAGAAGCAAGACGTGAACAATACCCATCCACTATATCATTTATTAATTTGTTGAATTCTCTCATTGCCGAGGAGAAGGATCTTACTGATAGAGGGCGCAGGTATTGTGTTTTGGCAATGTAATTTTCTCTCATTCATTTTTCTTCTTCCTGACATTGAGTGACATCCTTGCAGATTCATTGGCATCTTTAAGTTCATTTATGAGCAGGTATTTGGGCCATTTCCCCAGAGAGCCTATGCAGATCCTTCTGAGAAATGGCAGCTGGTTATTGCTTGCTTCAATCATTTCAAGATGTGATTTTCTTGTCCACAATATCTCCCTTTTAAGTTTTTATTCTAGTTCTGCTATTCTAGTTAGATGGTCCAGGTATACCTGCATTGTGCTGTCTTCTAAGAAGTTTTGAACTTGTGTTCACTTCTTTGGGTTGCAGGATGCTCAGCATGTATGGCTTCAAAGATGAAGATATTGAAAATATTGCTGATCAATCTCAACTTTCTGAATCTGGACAATCTGCCCCTGTTCAAATGCAGCTCCCAGTCGTTGAACTGATGAAAGTAATGCCTTTCAACGCCTTTTTTGAAGTTCATTTATTTCAGTTTGTTATCAGCATGATTATTACGTTAACTTTCCCTATTATCAGTGTGTTATCACACGGGTACATAGTTTGTACTTTCTGCAATTTAATTACAAGATTTTTTTGCAGGATTTTATGAGTGGTAAAAGTGCATTTCGGAATGTTATGAGTATTCTTTTACCGGGAGTTAGCATCGTTATAAATGAAAGAACAAGTCAAGGTCATGGGCACCTTCTTGAAAAGGCTATACTCCTCTCGTTGGAGATTATACTTCTTGTTTTAGAGAAAGATTTGATTGTTTCTGATTTCTGGCGCCCTGTATACCAGGTATAATACCAAAGTTAAACATTGATTGATCTTTTTATTGTGAACGTTCTCTCTTAAGATGTAATTTTTTCTTACTAATGCAATCAAATTCTTAACTCAAATGCATCTGATTTGGAAAATATATCCTTGAAATGGTTCTTTTTTGGCATGTTTGGCTAAATGCTAGACTTTATTTCATGATTCTTGACTAACATCTTAATCTCTACTGGCTCATTCTTTCACGTACAGCCCTTGGATGTCATTCTTTCTCAAGACCATAACCAAGTTCTCGCTTTGTTGGAGTATATCCGATATGATATGCAACCTCGTATTCAGCAGTGCTCTATTAAAATAATGAGTGTCTTAAGGTTTTGCTATCCTTTTTTTATTAAAATGTGTTTTGTTTCATGTCATGATACTACATTCTCTTGTGCAAAAACATTTCATTTCTAGGTTTTGTATATTAATGGCAGTTCTCGTATGGTTGGGCTTGTTCAACTTCTCTTGAAATCCAATGTTGCGGGGTGCTTGGTTGAGGATTATGCTGCTTGCTTAGAATTACGTTCTGAAGAATGCCAATCTATTGAGGACATGAGTGAAGATCCTTGTATACTCATTCTTCAAGTATGTTTCTATGGTCCCGTCAGAGTTCTAGTTAGAAATGTCTAGAATTAAGTTTTTTCTCTCTTCATGCTTATGTATCTCTTTAAGTACACAGAAAGAGCAGCAAGTATGAACTTTTAGAACTACCCCATTTTATGTTCGCCTAAATTTATAGCTGCAATGCATTGGTTCTCCATTGAGAGAGATTCATCAAACTTGAAAACAGACTTTGTCTATGCTTTCAGTCTTGAATAGTTGAATATCAATTCCTCACTTTTTGCCAAGGCACAGTAGAATCAGATAAGAACAAGATGGAGAGGCAAAGAGGTTTTGGGGGTAGGCAATGGATGAGCATTTCGTCTATAAGATCTTGTAAAATTTGCTTGGGTTGGATGTTTTTGATTTGAGGTATTAGGTGATGATCATCATGCAAATGAGGAAGAAGTGGGTTATGTTTATCAATTTTACTATGGCTGACAAGGCTTCCAATCAAATTATGTTGAATATTAATATAATGTACTGATGCATTCATGCATCTAGGGAGCAATGACCTCTTACAGCCTAGAGTGAAAAGTATAGAGATGCTCACTAAGAGAGTTGTGCTGGGTGTTTGTCCAACAGCTGTTTATGTCTTTTAGTTTCCTAACACATTTAACTTTAGTTTCCCAGTTTTGAAAGATTGTTTTGTACTTTTGTAAAGATAGGGTTCTACCTTCTACCATCTGATTTGGATGGGGGTTTCTTTACTTTCTTTGTTATTTCCCTTATTGCACATTCCTGTAGTCAGGTTTGCAAGGATTATTTTGGTTATGTTGTTTCTATTTCCTGTTTCACCTATGTAGATGGAGCTCAGCACAAGGAATCTATTAAAAACTGTGAACTGAAATAGTATGATTTGATATCATATGGGAATTTTAATAGAAATTGGTTCTCCATTTTTTCTGCAAAACTTAATTTGATGCCAAGTTACTGACTGGAGTTGGCTTTGAGTTCCGGTCTTCTGATTTCATGAAAATGTGTTTAACAGCCTTTACCTTTATTATGTCTTACTTTACTGTTTTTGTCTTGATTAGAGGTTGTTGATACAAGGTAATTTGTTTTAACTATTGTTAGTACAAACCCTGAGTATTCTACTCCATCCACTTGCAGCTTCTAATTGATAATATCAGCAGACCTGCCCCTAATATCACTCACTTGTTACTCAAGTTTGATCTTGATAACCCTATTGAGCGGACTGAGCTACAACCAAAATTCCATTATAGGTTCGGACTTTCCCTCTTATTCTCTTCAAATTCTCTTATGCTAAGATCATGATATGACCCTTTATATTTCTCTGCAGTTGCTTGAAGGTCATTCTTGATCAGTTAGAAAAGCTTCTCAAGCCAGATGCCAACGCGCTGCTTCATGAATTTGGTTTTCAGGTTAGATATCTTCTGGTATTAGATTTTGGCTGTGCAGTCCCAATATGTGCATGGGCTAAATACTACAATTGAAGAATTTGACTTTGCTCTATCATCTGTGTACTGTTTTTTGATGGTTATCACAACTCAACCCTTCTTAGCTAACAATTGAGTTCCTTTAACCAGCTTCTTTATGAGTTGTCAGTAGATCCACTAACTTGTGGCCCTATCTTGGATTTGTTAAGCACTAAAAGATATCAATTCTTCATAAAGGTACTTGCTGATTAATTTGTTAAACTTTTAGTTCTATTCTCTACTACAATTTAGAGGACCTTAGGGAATTCTATTCGTAAAATTTAATGTTTGATATATTATTGTAACAGCATCTGGACATAATTGGTGTTGCTCCACTCCCAAAAAGAAATAGTAGCCAGTCACTTCGCATCAGTTCCCTTCACCAGGTCTGTTTGGGTAAACTTATGTTTTATTTCCTTTCCAACTCTAGGTAAATGAGATGTTGAATTTGTGTTCTTCCATTACGTGTACTAGCTGGGTATCTTGAATTAAGAGTATTTATTCTAGTCTTGTCTGTTAGTTGGATGGTTATGAGTATCCTGTTGCAACTCTTTAAAAAATGAATTGATCCATGCCATTTTTTCTTTCAATGATTTCTTAACAAATGCCATTGTGCTTTATTTGCTTGTGTAGAGAGCT